CCGAAAGTCCTTCTCCATGGCCTCCCCGAACTCCTCCCATACAAATATACTTGTGTTCATTGTAAAACACGTGTTATACACCTATGGTCTCGCGGCACACCAGTGTGCCGTGAGAGATCGTCAGGTGTGCCGCGGGAAAATGTCCAATTTCACTTAATGAGTTCAATAAAATATTATTTAGTTGTTGCAAATACTTTGCCATTGTTGAGCGTCTGAGCTACAATTTAGTGGCTGGCTGAGTAATAAATACTCCTCCATGCCAGTAGGTAGCACAATAATGACCGTGTTCATTTAGGACAGTAGAATGAAATGACGCGCAGGAGAGGTTGTGGTGACAAGACGAACAGCGATGGAGAAATATTTGAAAAGGAAAAATGCAGACTCTGAACTGGGCCCTGGACAAAATAACCCAGATGAAAAGCCTAGTAAGGATCAACACATTGAGAGACTTGTCATTAAATTGTCAGCATATATCCGGCCCTCGGTACAACGGCCCGCCAGAAAATATCATATGTTTATCATAACTGGCCCGCCACACCACAGATCTCCGGGACGAAAAGTGGCGATGTGAGCTGGCTTTATGTGCAACATAACGAAGCATCTCACTGCGCTAAACCTCCAGCTTCAGGGACGGGGACGTGTGATCACAGACATGTGTGAGGCAGTAAAAGTCTCCACCGCTGTGTTCCCGACTGCGCATTTTGCTGATAAACTGGGTGCATTTGGCACAGAGATCACTCAACGATTTGCCGACTTTGCAGCTCAGAAATGTAAATTTGAACTGCTCAGCAATCCGTTTGCAGTTGATGTGGAAAGAGCACCTGTGGAGCTGATAGACCTCCAGTGTAATGACACTCAAGGCAAAGTATGACTCTGGGCGCTTCACAGTTTCCAAGTTTCCCCCCCCGAAACGATGCCTTAACTCCGCCTACATGCTGCTCAAACGCTCTGCATGTTTGGAAGCACATACCTGTGTGAGCAGCTGTTCTCTGTGATGAAGATGAACAAAAACCCGCACAGGAGTCTCACTGATGCACATCTTCACTCCATCTTGAGGGTTTCCACAGAACCTAACCCCAGATATTAATGAACTGGCAGCCAAGAAAAGATGCCAAACATCTGGCTCTGGTACGTATGCATAAAATAATGTAGCCTACCTAAACATGTATTCTTTTTGCACTTTGTCCAATATCCCTTCTATCCTGTTTATTAAATGATGACTCTATTTGGCCCTCAACGTAGTCCCAATTTCTTATTTTGGCCCTCTGTGATTGAGTTTGACACACCTGCATATATGCTGTATTATGCTAAAAGGTGTCATTTTGTAACATTTTTGGTTGTTGGTGTGCCGCGGGATCTTTTTAATGTAATGTAAAAAATGTGCCGCGGCTCAGAAAAGGTTGAAAAACACTGCTCTAGACTAGGGGGGGTCAGCCAATTGTGGGTTGAGTTTATTCAATCACAAAATACAGCAGTGGTTGTTGCATAAACATCTGGCAGTGATCCGCACTCTACTGCTGTGGTGGCCTGTTCTTTGTTCTTCTTCCTCTGTACTGGGCCACGTTACGGGGCTCTGTTTCTGACTCGCACATTAAACAGTCCAAATGATAACTCTTGCAGACGCTGATTCCTTTGCCGTCATTTGATCGATTTATTTTCACTTTTGACAAACTTAACAGCAAAACATAATCAGTTTAACGTGACGTCAAAGACTGTCCCGATGCCAAGGGAAAACAACCCGAGACTCAGTCCCATCCCTCTTATACCAGCTGATCCTCATCTGATTATTAACAAAAGTTCCCAAAGAAAAATAATTATTCAGAATGCGAATTTAACCGTCATTCATAAATTAAAGGAATGTGTTTAGGTCATACAAATATATTAGAAAAATTAGAAATTATGATTTGTAATCAAAACTAAAGATATGGCTCTAACATTCCAGCCCCTAATTGCTTCGAATACAGCAATTACATCAATTACTAAATAGTCAATATTCAAAACACAAATATATTCCGTTTTTTTTTTTCTTGTTTTTTTTTTCATTGTCGTCCGAGTACATAGATAGATTAAGTTCATATAACTTCTCCAAACTACTGTCCAGCACCAGCTACTCTCCAGCTTCAAGGAGCAGACAGAGTTTGTTGATGGGTCTCTGTATAACACTTGTTCTGGTTTTAACTGACTAGTCCTTTATTTCCTTGCATGGTCTTTAGAATCCGTCCTAGCACCCAGGAGTTTCTAGGAGCCCATTCATCCACAATAACAACGAGGTCTCCAGGTAGAAAGTTCCTTCCACTTATTTCACTGTTGCATGATTGGAAGGTATTCCCTGACCCATCTTCTCCAGAAAAGGTCAGCCAGATAATGTACCTGTCTCCATCTCCTTCTAGAGTACAGGTCCTCTTTCTTGAATATTCCTGAAGGCATGACGGGGTTTGTTTTGAGTAGAAGCAAATAATTAGGCGTTAAAGGTTCCACATCATTCAAGTCATTTGTTATTGTTGTGATTGGTCTATCATTCATTGTAGCTTCCACCTCACATAAGGCTGTCTGCAAGGCCTCATCATCCAGAACTTGTTCTTTCACCACAGAGCACAGAATCTTCTTGAGTGACTTAATTAGTCTCTCCCATACGCCTCCGTGGTGAGTAGGGTTGTCACGATACCAAGATTGTGACTTCGATACGATACCTGCCATAAGTATCACGATACCCGATACTTACGATACCAGAATTCGATACAATACCACAAATACGATACGATACTGGTATATTTATCTATAATAGTAATGTATAAAACATCTGTACGGTTCCCTTTTTTACCAGCTTCTTTCTGCCCAGCTTTTTGAACACTTAACAAATGGCATTAATATTAATGTTGAACGTCTTCGCATCTTTTGAGCCTCTCTCATATTTCCACTGGCTTTCAAACACAGCTGAAGGGAACTCTCTGTGTTGCTGCTGGCATCTGTCTGACTGTCTGTGGGAGTGGGTGGATAAACAATGCTTAATTTACTTGCATAGTGAGTTTGATATTTTCACTTCATATTTTATCTTAATTCATGGAATAATTATTTTTCCTTAACTAAAAATAAAAATAATTAGCTCAAGATCCACCCTCAGGCTCCACCAGCATGTCGCCATTTTGCATCAATTGTGTTTCATTTAGTACACTTTTGTGTGCATTGTGACCTCATGATCATATAGGCTTGTCCTCAAACTAGGCTAAGGCTACTCGTGTTAGCCGTCTATGGGTGAGCTTGGGGGTGTTCACGTTTATAATCACATTTGCTTACCCGCCGTTCTTTGAACTCTTTGAAAAGTTGGGGGTGTCTGTCTGAAAGGTGCTTTGCCATGTTAGACCTGTTGCCTCCCTTGGTCTGTGTGGCTTTGAAACAGGTTTCGCAGACGGGTCTCTGTATGTCAGTGGGGACCGTACACGGACCACCATTTCCGTTTTTGGTTTGAAACGAAAAATGAGAATATTGTCGTTTTTTCGGCTGAACGGTAAAACAGACTATCAAAACGTACACGGACCTTGATGCATGTCTCCCCTGCTATCACTGCTGTGAGTGAGCGCTGCCTGTTGCGTGTGTGAGCGTTGGGCAGCCCCGCCCCCTTGCAGTCAATGCCTGCAGGCAGCATGACAGGGAGCGGAACAGTGAGTGCGCTCTGATCGCGCTATTTTAATGAAGTATCGATACTAAAAATATGCAAAATCGTATCGTTTTTAACGTGCGGGTACTGCGGTACCTTTTTAGTATCGATACACCGTGCAACATTAGTGGTGAGCACCTACTGCTGGGTTAAATATCCACTCTATTCCTTCTTGGAGTAGATTTCTTTGGATTTTGTCATGATTTAGTTATTTTAATGATCGTTCAGCTCCTTTTGTGCACCAACAAAATTTGTACCTTGATCTGATCTGATGGTTTTTACAGTACCTCTGCGACATAGAAATCTGCATATTGCATTGATGCAGGAGTTGGTGTCCAAACTATTAGCCACCTCAAGATGGATTGCCCAGCTAGTAAGGCATGTAAAGATCACACCCCACCGTTTTACATTGGTCCGACCTCGCTTTATCTCAAAAGGTCCAAAATAGTCCATGCCAACTGAAGTGAAAGGTGGCAGATCCGGTATCACACGGTCCTGTGGAAGATCTGCCATTTTTTGCTCTCCTACTTTAGACTGCATTCGTCTGCAGAAAACAGTTTCTGATGATCTTTCGTGCTGAAGAATTTGCAGAGGACATCCAGTATTTCTGTCCTAGTTTTGAGAGCATATGATTTCTTCCAGAATGACCAACTTGGGTGTGACCTCGGATATGTGGGATTTTTTGGGTAAGATTATGGGATTCTTAGCGCATACTGGCATAGCTGATCTGTTAATCCTTTCCCCCACTCTCAGGACACCTTCATCTAGGATGGGGGATCCATTTTTAATATAGGGCTCTCTTTTCGGCAGTGTTTTCCCTTTTCCAGGAGGGAAATTTCCAGTGCAAAGTGTTGCTGTTGCTCAAATGCATATATGGCCTTTTCAGCATTTTTTAAATATCTTTCACCATCAGATCTGCACTGAATGGCACCTTAAGCTTCATGGCACGTTCCTTCAGTGATTTATCATTACTCAGCAGCAATCCAGTATTTGTCATCTTTCTTCTTTGAGTGATCTCCAAGAGCAATCTTTTCAACTTCAATATCCAAGCTACAGCTTTTTCAGGCTTTTCCAGTCTGAGTAGTACTCAATCAGCTTATTGGTGGGACTTTTTCCCTCAATGCTCGTTGTGTTCACGATCACATCCCTTTTCACTTTGGGATCATCCGACGAAAGATAACTTTGTGACATTTTGTCTGGGTTCTTAGGCCACTGATTTTTAGTTTGTCTTTAAATTTCCACATTTATGTATTCTTTTATATATTTTTTTTATGGCACTACTGTGTCTCCAACTTCTCTGAGATGTTGGTTTACAAACTTTCTGTCTGTCCGTCTGTCTGACCAGGTGTGGGAGTTGTCCTCAGGTGAGCTGCTCCTGTCCGTCCTGTTTGATGTGGAGATCATGTCTGTGACCTTTGACCCCTGCGAGTACTTCCTGTTCTGTGGAGGCAGTGATGGAAACATTTTCCAGGTGTCTCTGTGCAGCCAGGTGAGTCTCACTCTTTACTTTACGTCCTCCATTTTAACACACTGCCATTCTACATCCTACAAAAAAGTGTTCATTTTGTTATCTGACAAGCTATATCCTTCAAAAATACATCCTACAAACTACATCTTACAAACTATATCATCCTTCAGAAATACAAAATACATCCTACGAACTTCATCATATAAACTACATCTTACAAACTATATCATCCTTCAAAATACAAACTACATCCTACAAACTTCATCCTATATACTACATCTTACAAACTATCATCCTTCAAAATACAAACTACATCCTACAAACTACATCTTACAAACTATCCTTCAAAATACAAACTACATCCTACAAATGTCAAACTACGTCTTACAAACTATCATCCTTCAAAATACAAACTACATCCTACAAACTACATCTTACAAACTATCCTTCAAAATACAAACTACATCCTACAAATGTCAAACTACGTCTTACAAACTATATCATCCTTCAAAATACAAACTACATCCTACAAACTTCATCCTACAAACTACATCTTACAAACTATCATCCTTCAAAATACAAACTACATCCTACAAATGTCAAACTACATCTTACAAACTATATCCTTCAAAATACAAACTGTTCAACAAGCCACAAACTTCATCCTACAAACTACATCCTACAAACTATATCATCCTTCAAAATACAAACTGTTCAACAAGCCACAAACTACATCCTACAAACTTCATCATACAAACTACATCTTACAAACTGTCATCCTTCAGAATACAAATTGTTCTACAAGCCACAAACTACATCTTACAAACCAAAAAACAAATGCTACAAACTACATCCTACATTCTACAAACTTCATCCTACAAACCCAAAAAATATATGCTACAACTTACAATCTACAAACGACATCCTACAAAGTACAAACTACATCCTACAAACCCCAAAAATATATGCTACATCTTACAATCTAAAAACTACATCCTACAAAAGACAAACTACAAACTTCAAACTACAGCCTTTGGAAAAGATCTGACCATGTGGAGTTGAGTTACATCAGTTTATACATATATTATATTGGTGAGGAAACTGTGGACTGATTGTTGGTTGTTTTCAGACTTCTCTTCTCTCCGACTTGTCATGATCAGTAATTGATGTCATTTAAAGGAATCAGTCAAAACATTTTGAGATGGCCAATAACAGGCTATAAGTTAAAGAGGACCTGACCTGGAAACAGTTTGTGTCGATATAGAAGTGTTTGAACTGTTTTTGTTTCATCTGCAGAGTCTTAGTTGGGACAAATCGTTCCAGTCAGACAACGACGGGAACCAGGTCTTCAAAGGACACAGGTGAGATGTTTATTCCATTCATATCAGTCACCTCTGAACATTTTAAGGTGACTGTGGTACAACGATCACGGAGTCACAGAGACAAAAAAGATAGTAGAAATTTTTTTTTTTTCATCAGTTTGAATCCTCTCATTTTTTCAAAATTGTCTTGTAATTTGATCTGAAGTCATTTAAAACCTCAGTAGATTAAGATAGTCTTGTGATCTGAAGTCAGTTTGAATCCTCTCAGTAGATTCAAATAGTCTTGTGATCTGATCTGAAGTCAGTTTGAATGTCTCTCAGGAACTTGGTGACGTGTCTGTCGGTGTCCATGGATGGGACTCTCCTCCTCTCTGGTTCACATGATGAGACAGTTCGACTCTGGGATGTCCAAAGCAAACAGAGCATCCGCTGCCTCGCCCACAAAGGTAAGCCCCACCCCCCTCCATGATATCTCAATGACAAAAACACAAACCATCAATTCGATTTATTTTGTTTAGCCCAAAATCACAAATTCTCCTCAGAGTTCTTGACGGTCTACACATACAACATCCTCTGTCCTTTGACTCTCACATCAGAATAGGAAACAGAGGAGGATCCTCTTATCAGGATGAAGTGTGATGTCATGTGTACAGAATGAACAACATAACGGAGTCACAACACATTCAATGCATATGACAGAAATTATTCATATAATGAGACTAGTAAGTAGAATAATGATGGAAACATTATGACGACTAATGATAACAGCAGAAGTGGATATAGTAGAATAATAATAAAATAAGTAATGGCATCAGTAACAGTAATGTGACTAATAATAATGATGATAGTATCAGTGGGTGTCAGCGGGACCAGGGTCCAGATAAAACCAGGATCTAAGTAAACCTGTAAGGAGAGAAAACAAAGACTCTGAGGAAGAAGCAAAGTCAGTAATGTGCATTAATGGTATCAATAATAGAAATAGTAATGTGACTAATAATAATAATGATAATAGTAGCAGTAGGTGTCAGCAGCCTGTGTTTTGACTGTCGGGTGACCTCAAGAGGAAATGACCCTAGCCCTCATCAACAGCTTCCTGTTTCATGGTGAATAATGGTGTTGAGCATCATCAAGGTCTTCACCTTACACGGACTAAATGTGAGGGTGATCTGCTTAACCTGCAAAGAGTAGTACGCCAAAGTATGGCAAATGTAACTTCCTGTTGCCATGATGTGGAGCTATGTCTGTGTATATATAATCATAATATAAACCGGTTAACGGTAAGAATTATAACAAATGTAAACTGGGTCAGAAACCTCACCTCTGGTCAGACTTCTGTTACTGCTAAAGAAAAGCCTTCTGGCTCTCACACGCCTTCATAATAAGAGCCCTCTAGCCCCTTCACAATAAAAGCCCTGCAGCCGCATCAGTGCATCTGCATTGTTATTGTGTTGATCTGCATCTATATTAAGTAGTTTTTCGATGTATTGATTACATCAGTGGTTCTCAACTGGCGGGACCCGTTTTCACTGGGTCGCGGGCCGTTGCCTATCTTAAAAAAAAAAAAAGAACTTATTTTGAAGGGGGTTTTTTATGCAGCGGAGTGCCGTCTATTCACACTCCTCAACAATATTTGGTGTGAATGCCTTGTAATGCTCATAGCAGAGGATAAACTGAAAACTATACCTCTGTCTAATGACACTAAGTTGGCGAATTGAAGACATGTCGGATGACATCAAACAGCAGACCACAGTTCGAATTTAGGCAAGTGGTCATTTTGCATTACAAATGGACGAATCTACATACATAACGAACAAAGCAGTTTTACTCGTTTACGTGACACATGTGTGGGACGGGGACTGACCGGAACAATTTATCTGCACAAGAGAGCTCCCTACACTACGACTGCAGAGGACGTTTCCAGCTCAGGTTCAAACTACACAATCTTTTCATTAAATACATTTGAGAAGTTGAAAATGTTCCGCGATTTGGGTCACGGCTTGTCATTAAGGGGTGATGGTGGGTCCCGCAGCCAGACCAGTTGAGAACCACTGGATTACATTACAGTCATTTAGCAGACGCTTTTATCCAAAGCGACCTACAATAAGTGTATTCAACGTCTGTATTCAAGAGAACTACTAGTCACTAGAAGTCAAAAGTGTATCTCCTTTTTTAAACAAGCATCTAAGAGCATAAACCAGAGCAAAAGTACAGAAACAAACTAATACGAATACAATAAGTGCAACAAACTAATATGAATACAATAAGTGCTAAGTGGAAGGCTCAGGGTAGTACTTCTTGAAGAGCTGAGTCTTCAGCCTGATGAGTCTTCAGCCTGAGTTCAGTGGATCCTTCAGTAAGCGTGACTTCGCTCCTTCACTCATTACTGCAAACAGCTTCCTGTCCTCTGGTGGCTCATCCTCTTAAATTGATTCTCGAGGTAATCTGAGGGAAATTAATTTGAAAAGTCCCCAGACAGGAAGTTGGAGTGACAGCAGGCCGAGGCTCAGCTGCAGGCAGGAAAAGATCCGCCACTAGAACGGAGTACTGAGCTCTGTTCTTCAACTGGAGGGAGCTGAGTGTTTTCTGAAGGGTGGAGGTCGGAGTAAATCCACTCCCACACGTTGTTTCCTGGCTGTGATTTGGAGCCTTTGTTGGCGTGAAATGAGTCTGGCAGAGCGTCGGCTGATCGACTGAATACAGGGACCCGCTCTGTCTTTGTTGCTTCCTTCTGATAAACTGGAAATCTAGAGAATTAAATGTTTTCACGGAAATTAAGTGAAGGCGGAGCACAACGTCACAACACTTCATGTGTTTTCATGTCGGGAGTGTTGAGTTCAAAACCTCTCGCAGAACTGTGGAAGGCCGCACATCTCCAGCTACCGGCTATCTTTCGACAGCAGAGTCGTACCAAAAAGCAGCTGGATCCGGTTTACACTCAAAAAAGTATTTAATAATTTGACAGAAGCTAAAACAGTTGCAAACTGAATTAAAGCTGCGAGCAGCGATGAACGGGCCCTCGCATCCTCCAGTGTGTCGGGGGTGGCGGTGTAGGAGTTCGCAAAAATGTGTTTTTTTTTCACTAAATTCAAAATGGCTGACTTCTGGTTGGGTTTAGAGCTTAGAGCTCCAGGGGCTTCTTTATCAGTCTACATGTGATACATCTGTTTCCCAAATGTTATACATCTAAATTTTATATATAGATAGTGAAACGTACTGCGAGGACTGCATCGTCGACATATTGTATAAATTCATACAAAATTGAAAATGGCAGACTTCCGGTAGGGTTTAGAGCATGGTTCCAAGAGACTTATTTTTAAGTCTCCATAGGATACATGTGCCTACCAAGTTTCATACATGTAGCCAAAACGTAGCACTGGGGCTGCTCTTTTGAAATATTGTAGGGGACGCTATAGAGGCAATTTAAAACGGCCAATAAAGAAAATCATATAAACTATTTCTTCCAATGACCTGTGACACATGTACAAAGTTCCATGAGTTGAGCATCCCAACCCACTAAACCATCAGCTTCCTTTTTCATGGCAAACTATGCGTCGCCACGGCAACAGCGTTCAATGAAAACTCAAAAAATTCATGATGATGCATCATCAATGTCTTAAGGCTATCCTTACCAAATTTTAGACTCATCAGGTCACCTGGCTCGGAGAAATAAATAAAAGTATAGAATATGACATTTCCTTTAGCCAGCAGGCGGCGCTATGAATTATTGAATTTTTTTCAATTGAAGTATGTTTAGGCTTGAAGTAGCATCATGCAAAAGAAGTTTTGTGCGGATTGGATAATGTACCTTGGAGTTATAACAACTTATAAGAACTTATTTTTTCATAAACAATGAGGCAAAATTGCCGCCACGTCAAGGTTCTTTGATGAAAACTCTCGATTTTGATAACTTTTAATCACAAAGGTCTTAAGAGCATCCTGACCAAAGGAGAAGTTGATCGCTTAAAATCTGTAGGAGGAGTTCGTTAAAGTGCGAAGGCTGAAATCTGCAAAAAGTGACAAAAAGCACAAATTCGAGGGTTTACTGTAGCGCCCCCTAGTTGTTTAATGCAAAATAAATCTCAGGGTATGTTAGAGGATGCAATGTGCACATATGCTGAAAATCTGGTAATTTTAGGACAAACGGTTGAGAAGTTATATGTATTGATATTAAGCCACGCCCCTAAGAAGTTTATTGGTACATATCTTGTAAACGAAAAGAGATATCAAAAAGCTTTTGATAAGTTTTGATGACGTAGATCCAGTAATGATCCACAGCCAATTTGGTAGTAATGGGACTAAGCATCTAGGAGAAGTTCGCAGAAATGTGTTTTACACTAAATTCAATATGGTGGAAAATCTAAGTAGGCGGAGCTTAGGGTCTGATTGGCTATTTTGTAGCTCTAACTCGAAATTTGACACACATGTCCACTTAAGTCAATCGGACATACTGGCCAAGGGGCGTCGCCGGTCCGACTTGTAGGGGCGCTAGAGAGCCATTTCTTAACACAGAAAGATGCATTCTTTTTCAGATGGCTATATTCACCAGGCCTGACAAGTCCCCAAAATTTGGTGAGTTTTCATCCATAGCAAGTCCTCCAACCATGCGTACGTTTACCCAAACGGGTACAATATCAATAGGGCCTTCGCGGCCCGACGTTGTCGGTAGCTCGGGCCCTAATTACACTATCGATAGTATATGTTTCATGAAGCAGAGAACACACAAGTTCCACCCAACAGTCCAGCCCGTGCTAGTTATCTGTAAAATGGCCGCCGTGAGCTCTGACAGGTCTCCAGTGAAACAGTGTTCTTTATGTTCTGAAAGTGTCCGAAAATGTCCGTGTCAGCTCAGTGATTGGCTGCAATCGTACTGTCCCCTCCTCGCTTTGGACAGTATTCGCTCAGTGTCTAGCTGGATTCCTCCGGACTCCGATGGTCAGTCCTTCTCGTCTGACCACTTCCTGTTGACTCGGTGCTGGCGACCCTCTGCTTGCTCTGAAAAGCCTCACTCAGAAATCCCTTTCTGGCCCTCACGGTGTTTAATACATACAGTGACTATACTTTTGTAACAGACTGTCTCATGTTTGTCGTTCTGGTGTTGACGATATGTCCCTTGAGGGTTGCCGTAGCGAAGAGGCAACTCCCGCCTCTGGCCGAAGGGAAAAACAATAATAAAGAGAGTAGCCGTGGGCTGAACAAGATGTCTGGTCTCCCGACTCCAGTGATTACTATTTGATAAGTGCCCTCATACACCAACCCAAGACACTCGGTCACACTTTTATGGTTCAATACATTCAATGAGTAAATATACTGTAACATATAATATCCTTTCTAAGTAAACCTATTGTAAACTTATAATACCTTCCATAAGTAAATATATTGTGACATTCTATATTCACCACTAGGGGTACCATTAATCATACTAAGATACCTCACAGGAGCACTTAAAACATTTAAATAAACAGCACATACAGTGGGTATGGAAAGAATTCAGACCCCTTTAAATTTTTCACTCTTTGTTTCATTGTAGCCATTTGCTAAAATCAAAAAAGTTGTAACATTGGCCAGATCTGTGCCTTGCCACAATTCTGTCTCTGAGCTCCTTGGGCAGTTCCTTCGACCTCATGATTCTCATTTGCTCTGACATGCACTGTGAGCTGTAAGGTCTTATATAGACAGGTGTGTGCCTTTCCTAATCAAGTCCAATCAGTTTAATTAAACACAGCTGGACTCCAATGAAGGAGTAGAACCATCTCAAGGAGGATCAGAAGAAATGGACAGCATGTGAGTTAAATATGAGTGTCACAGCAAAGGGTCTGAATACTTATGACCATGTGATATTTCAGTTTTTCTTTTTTAATAAATTTGCAAAAATTTCTACATTTCTGTTTTTTTCTGTCAAGATGGGGTGCTGAGTGTACATTAATGAGAAATAAAATGAACTTTTTTGATTTTAGCAAATGGCTGCAATGAAACAAAGAGTGAAAAATTTAAAGGGGTCTGAATACTTTCCGTACCCACTGTATATACAGTACATTTACACATATATATATATATATGTGTGTGTGTATATATATCAAAACTAACCCTGACCTCCTCTAACTTTTACAAGTATCAAGTTTAAATATTTAGTATTCACCATCTTCACCTCTAACTTTTACAAGTTTGGATATTTAGTGTTGATCTTTTCACCTGTTAGGTAGATTTGTTTTATGACCATGTGTTGAGTTTTTCCTTCAGACTGAGAATCTCAAGCTGGAGCTGCTTAAATATTTTACTTCAGAAGTTGAGCAGCTTCAATATTTAACGGTGAATCTTTTAAAGGAGCTTGATGAAGAACATCTTGTGATGTTTGAGCCGTCGCTCTGGTTCCACACAGAACCGTCTCATCTCATTTGTGTTGGTACGCTGATACTTCTGATGCTGGTCTGACTTGATCCACCTCACAGACTATTCACAAACATTTGATTTTCTTCGCTGTGGTCGGCATCTGTCTTTCATTTTATAGAGTAAAGTATTCCAATCATCTAAAAAAATAAAAGTCCAAACAAATGAAGAATCATCTCTTCACAGAAGCATCTATATGTTGGGTGTGTTCATCTCTATCAGAGTTGTTATGAAAGTTTGATGGTCAGTTCTGGGCTCCTCCAGTCTCTCTGCAGTCTGTAGGTGAATAAAAGGCTCTTAAGGTGGACCAGCTGTTAACCTGTTAGTGACCAGCCCTACATTCATCACCAAACACTGTAAAGAAAACGGGGAGCAGGAAGGCGTCCAAACCAAACTAAATATATGAATTGTCTGGCTTAAGATCACACAATAGAGTTGAAGCCCCCCACTTGTGTTCCCCCATGGGACCCAAAAGTTAACGACAAGATACATACTTTTATTTAATCCAGTTTGAACTGTACCATGGATTACACACATGTTTGTCGATTTAGATAATTTAGCATAATGTTTTAGCATTCTCATTCAATGCAACAATAACACAGACACATATTAATTGCGTTTCAGCAGCATCATCTACATTTACATGAACAATGAGATGAGGTAATAACCCTAAAGCGACACTGTTCATTAAACAGCGTGATCAATGGAAGATGTATTCTACTTCATGTACATGTTGGTAATAACTGCAGTATTTCTCACTGCTGCAGCTTTCAGGTCATTTCAGGTTACACTTTGAGGCTCCACCCTCATTCTGTGGATGTCACAGGTCAGCTGACAGCTCATTGGTCTGTTCAAGAGATATTACTGTCACTCAACAGAAGAGGAATCCTAATGAATTATTTAGGCTTTTATCAATAAAACCTCCCTCTTGATCTCTAAGTAAAGTGGATCATCAACACATCTGAAGACACTAATAGAATAATTAATCAGCAGATTGATCGATATTGAAAAGAATGACAAGGTGCAGACTGAATGTTTACGATTCACTGCCGTTACCTGCAGTCCTCTGACATCACTTCCTGTCTGTGTGTTCAGGTCCGGTGACGAACGCCATCATCACGGCGGCTCCAGCGAACATGTTTCTGCCCGACAGCCGGCCGGCCGTCCCTCTGCCGCGCTTCAGCCGACACCTGCACACCTCCGAGGGCGGAGAGTCGGGGGAGGTGTGTGTCCGCCTGGGACGCTACTCACAGGTGATGTGTGTGTGTGTCCGTCCGCCTGGGACGCTACTCACAGGGGAGACAGGTGATGTGTGTGTGTCCGCCTGGGACGCTACTCACAGGGGAGACAGGTGATGTGTGTGTCCGCTTGGGACGCAACTTACAGGTGAGACAGGTGATGTGTGTGTCTGCCTGGGACGCTACTCACAGGTGGGACAGGTGATGTGTGTGTCCGCTTGGGACGCAACTTGCAGGTGAGACAGGTGATGCGTGTGTCCGCTTGGGATGCAACTCACAGGTGAGACAGGTGATGTGTGTGTCCGCTTGGGATGCTACTCACAGGTGAGTCAGGTGACGACATCTGTGACCCACAGGTGTGATTGGCACTTTATTATGTCAAGAGTCCGTTTAAAAACGGGGTCCGAATGTTTCACAGGAGCAGACGTACCTGCAGAAAGCTGATAAACTGACCTCTCTTATTTTGAAATGTTCTTGTGTTTTTAGGAGGACGAGCAGACGTACCTGCAGAAAGCTGATAAACTGAACTATTTGATGAACGCTGTGACTGACAAGGTGAGAGGGGGCGGGGCTCAGGTGCTAATAGTTGGGTAAATGTTGTGTTGTGCTACTAGCGCTATTAGCTACTCATTAACACATTGATGGTGAATGTGATCAATGATCATCAGAGAACAGACGGTGGACATGAGGGCCGTTTGTGTTGTTATGTCTCTTTAAACCTTTAAAAACTCTTCATGTCTTCATGTTTTCATGACTCAACAGACGACTCAGATAGTTTAGTCAGAGGTCAAAGGTCAGAGACTGTAAACAAACTAAATGTCAAAAATACAAAATGTCACAAAGCTGAAAAAAGGAGACACAGTGTCTGCTCACTTCAATAATCATTATCAGTTATCAATACTAAACTAATAATCATTGATTATCAGTTATCGACACTTTAATAATCATCTAAAGTGAGGACTATCTCTGCTTACAAAGCATTTATAAATGACATTGGAAGGCCATCAGTGCCTAAAAACCCACAAGTCTGTTATCTTCTCAACAGAAAAGGCAAATAAACACAAAGTGATCAAGAACATATCAATATTTATTACAAGATGCAAACAATGTACTCGTAAATATAAACCTCTCAGCCATTCATTTGTGTAAAAAACAAAACAAACAGATTGTCGTTCAGGAGAACATGGCTGGATATAAAACATTTGTAAATGTACAACTGGAGGTAGCCAGGAGCTTTGCATATTAGTTTACATTTACTTATTTCATTATTCAGGGTTAGGGTTTGCTACTTCAAGGGTACCGAGTAGTACGAAGGGCTACTTGTTTGATACAAACTTCCTGAATAACAAAGTTGCACAGATCACCTTTTAATAATAATAATAATAAATGTGAAGAGACTGTCTGATCACATGTCAGTTAATTATTCCTCACAATGATTATTAACAATGATTGTGTATTTTTTTTCAAAATCACACCTGTTATATTTGTACAAATTATCACTTCTAACATATCTTCACATCATGTCTCGTTTGTACTAACCACTACCTTTGTAACTTTTTTGAACAAATCATGAACTCTGTCCCGTGTTTATACAAATGATCAGTTATGTAAGATTGATATCCGAGTGATATCCGGCCAATCCAAAGACGATTGTAACCAATTAAATGTAGTTATACAGTGGTGACTGGGTCCGCCCACTTGGTGTCAAAAAGAAAAACTACTCGCGAGCGAGCAGAAGAGCGGTGATGGGATTCGCACGCTACGGGACGCACCTCGCACTCAAAGCAGGGTTTTCTCCTCGCAGGCTGCAATTTTGCCCGAGCAGAGATATTTTACACGGAGGGATGTGAAAGTGCTCGTCAAAGTAAATTACGTGCGCTGCTGTTTAATTCACACACACACACACACACACACACAGAGATCGATCTTATTTGCGCTCTCGTATTGTGACAGTGATTTGCCTTCATACTGGTGCTACTTTTAGAACATGCCTTGCGGGCGACTCACCGTGTTGGCAACCTCTGGTTTACATCTTGTGGTGAACCCTCTGTATGTACTCTGGTGAAGTCTTCTCTTGATTGTTGACTTTGACACGGATACGCCTACCTCCTGGAGAGTGTTCTTCATCTGGCCAACTGTTGTGAAGGGGTTTTTCTTCACCTGGTAAAGAATTATTCGGTCATCAACTACAGTTGTTTTTCCTTGGTCTTCTGGTGTTGCTGGGCTCACCAGTGCTTTCTTTCTTTTTAAGAATGTACCAAATTGTTGATTTGACCACACCTAATGTTTTTGCTATCTCTCTGATGGGTTTGTTTTGATTCTTCAGCCTAATGAAAGCTTGCTTCACTGATAGCGGCAGCTCTTTGGACTTCATATTGAGAATTGACAGCAACAGGTTACAAATGCAAATCTCACACTTGAAATTAACTCTAGACTTTTTATCTGCTCCTTGTTAATGAAATAATGAGGGAATAACACACACCTGGCCATGGAACAGCTGATCAGCCAATTGTCCAATTGCTTTCAGCCCCTTCAAAAGGTTATAGATCGTAGCGTCCTCTTTCCTCACCATACACGTTTACACCTTTATAGATTGTATCGTCCTCTTTCCTCACCATACATGTTTACGCCTTTATAGATTGTATCGTCCTCTTTCCTCACCATACATGTTTACGCCTTTATAGATTGTATCGTCCTCTTTCCTCACCATACATGTTTACACCTTTATAGATCGTAGAGTCCTCTTTCCTCACCATACATGTTTACACCTTTATAGATCGTAGAGTCCTCTTTCCTCACCGTACATGTTTACACCTGCTGACTGCATGTTTCTGATAATATGTGTTTCAGTCGGTGTTCGGTGACGGAGAGAACACGAAGGTTCGAGTAGCCGAGCTTGAAGAAGAAGTTCAGACTCTGAAGAAAGTCAACAAAGATCTGTACGACTTCTCCAGCCAGCTGCTCACTAAACCCACATAAACACATGTGTATATTTACACACTGTACACACACAGCTACACACACACCACATAAACATACAGGTACACACATAAACATGTACACACAGGTAAACAGATTCAAACACAATTTGTGATGATTTTTGTTTAAAAAATAAAAGTGTTGTTTTTGTAGAACTTCTTGTCTTTGTTGATGCTGCCTTGCTCAGAGGAACCTCTGACATCAGAAACCAATAACTTACTGCCCTCAATAACTCACAGCTGAATACCCAGAAACCATTTCACCACTATCGACCCTTTCATTGTGGCAGTGGTGGAGTAACGGTAAGAGGAGCTTGGTGGTTCAATCCCCAGACCGGTGTGGAAAGTGAGAAGCAGACTAGCCCTTCTTTCATTACTCAGTATTGTGGGTTCACTGGGCCTCTGACCAAAACCTCTAAAGGGAGGCGTCCAAGAGGATCCTGATCAGATGTTGAGCCTCCTTTAGACCTGAAGGATCAGATACTCTGAGCTCTGAGTCCAGACACCCTACGAAGGATCCTCCATCTCGTGCTTTGTTTCACGACCCAAAGCTCATGACCACAGCGGAGGGTCTGAACCGAGACGGACTGGTGGATCCAGAACTTAGTCTTCACCACAGCGGTCCTGTTCAACGTTTTCATCAAACCTCCATCTCACGCTCCATCTGAACCTCACTGGTGAACCAGACCCAGAGAGACTTGAACTCTCTTTGAGCAGAGACTCAGTCCCAAACCAGCAGAGAACCTGGAGGTTCTGCCTCTTTTTCTACAAATTGCCCCGGTGCTGCTGAAGGTCACGTTCTTAAGGAGCCAACAGAACCACATCATCTGCAAAGAGAAAAGACGCAATTCTGAGGTCCTCAAACCAGAGCCTCTCCTCCCCGTCTGGGCCTTGAGATCCTGTCCATGAAAATCACAGAGGATTGTAGACCAGAGACCTGGTGGAGGCCAACGACCACTGGAAACAGCTCTGACTTTGGTTAAACAAGGACCGGATGGCTCGTAGTACTGACCCAGGTACCCGTATTCCTGCTGTACCCCCACAGGACTCTCTGAGGAACACGATCCAACGATCCTTTGAGAATCCACATTGCTCCTCCTGGATCTGAGTTACAGCATTATATTGATGAAGAGTAGAGCTGCATTAACATGCTCTGACTGTCATGAAGACACAACACACACATGTAGATGAAACGTGCTGAAACATGTTATTCCTGTTGCACAGCAGTGGAACGTTTCACACACAGTCACACACTGACCACAGATAGTGAAGAGATAGAACTGCTGCTGTGTAAAGAGAACACTGCTGCTAACAAGAACCTGATGTGTTTAAACCAAATGTTATTGCCCTTTGTTCATATAGCAGTACTTTCAAAATAAAAGTGCACAATACACTACTTATGAATTCATTATTGAACTTTGCCATAACAATGCGATTAATCTCTATTAATCCCCAAAAAATCATGCGATTAATCGCGATTAAAAATTGTAAACGTTGCCCAGCACTAATATATATATCTCTATCTATATCTATCTATATATCTCTATATATATATCTATCTATATATCTCTATCTATCTATCTATATATCTCTATCTAT